TGCTGCACACATTTAAAGATATAGTTATGCAAGATGGGATATATGATTGAATATTAGCTCATGCCTTCAAGAAACCTTAAATTTTTGCTCTTGTCTCTTTTTCTTTTGTTATCTATTTCTAAAAAAAAATGTACTTTAAAGAGAGTATCATAATAATTGATATGACATTAGAACTGGGACACAGTTAGAAGACCAAGATGACAGGGATTTCAAGCACAGTTTTTGTATTACATATTGCTGTCCTCGGTGTAGTTGCTTAGTTCTCAGTTATCTGCATACAGAGTTAGTCAAGGTGAGAGTTCTACACATTAACTGCTATTTTCATAACACTAATGAAAATTCTTAGTGCCATCACCTCAGCCTTCTTGTATATACACTTGCGTGGTTTGGCCCTACCATTTTTCCTATCTTTTCTCCACCCTCTCCTCGTCGTTGTTTAATCCTTCAGTTCCACTTCTTTCCATTTAACTGGATCTAGTTGTACCCATGGTCTCACCACGATTGCTGCTTGCCATTGCTCTATCGTGTTCCTCAGTGAGAAACTCGGGTCCTACTGAGCGGCTCCGTCTGTCTCTGCAGATCCTGGCCAACGTGATCATCTTCATCTGCGGGAACCTGGCCGGAGCCTACCACAAGCACCTCATGGAGCTTGCTCTGCAGCAGACGTATCAGGACACGTGCAACTGCATCAAGTCCCGGATCAAGCTGGAATTTGAAAAGCGCCAGCAGGTAACGTGTGCTTTTAATCCCGTGTGCTCGTGAGTTTAGGCAGGGCTGAAATGATGCTACTGCTGTGAGTACTGAGTGCAGAGTTTGTTCATTCGTGAGCATCAGACAGAAACCTCAGCCGCTGACTGCTTGCGCCCAGTCCTGGGCTCTTGGCCTGAGGACTTAGCTCAAGGAACAGCGATGGAATCTCCTCCGTGCAGCTCTGGGCCAAGAAGCCTAATGGCCCAGTACCGCACACAGGCAGACAGCCGCATCAAGTGTCATCCACAGATCTGGGGAATGGGTTGGAAGCTGAACTAACAGCAAGGCCTTGCACCATTGTTTAGTGTTTGTGGCAAGAATCTACCCTGGCAGAAATCTGAGCCTCGCCGTTGCGCTGTGTTCTCCCAGCACTGGGGGCAGTAGCTGTGGCCCATGTGGGATGGGCCGGTGGGCATCACTGAGAGCAAGGTGACCAGGAGCAGATGGTTGCACTTGGTGGTGGTTACTCTAGATGATGCTTGGGATGGTGCCCGGCAAGGCAAACTTGCGAATATATTGACTGTGATGTGGCATTGCAGAGAATGTCTCATGAAAAGAGGTGGGGGCTAGCCATGTGTTATCTCAGGGCATGCAGGAGCATGGAGTGCTCTGGAGGACAGACTGATGGGAAGAGGACCGGCAGTGTATGCACTTTCTTCAGGTGACAGCAGAGAAGCCACACAAGTGGCTTTGCATTCTAGGGCTGCTGTATTTATCACCTGGTAGCTAGTCTGCAAAGGTGATGGTTGGCATGGATTTCTGAGCTCTCTGTTGCCCTTCTTTGCTAGCTTTTTTCATAATACCTGGGCTGTTAACACTGTTGGGCATATAGTAGATGCGTAATTACTACGTTAAATTGTATTGAGTTAATCCATTCTACAAAAGCTCATCATATGTGTTTTGGTGGTGAGACCAAAGTTACAGCCTTTCAGCACTGGCCCTGGGCACTGTTCGCGTAAGAACTGATAAATGGTAATCGCATCCCATTTTGTTCAAAGAGGATGTTAGTTCATTTGTTTAACAAATATTTATTGAGCGCAGAGTGTGTCGCAGGCTCTAGGAGTGTGGTTGTGAGCAGTGCTTTCTCCCTGGTACTGCTGGCAAATCTCATAGGTATTTATAAAGTTTCCTTGTCGTGTGGTGTGAGGTTTTGAACTCAGGGCCTTTGTACGGAACCACATCCCAAGCCCACTTTTCTATCTTATTTTAAGACAGGATTCCATGAGGTTGCAAGTTGCCCAGGCTGGACTGAGCAGTCGTCCTACTTCAGCATCCCAGAGTGTTGACATTGAGCCCTATGTGTCTTGCCACCAGATCCAGTGTTAAAAACCTGCATTTTGTCTATGACCAACCAGGAAAGCAATGAGATTCAATAACTGAGGTTTAATTCTTCAGTTCTATGTATGTAAAATTCTGAGTACATCAAAAGCTATAGGCAGTTATTCGCCTGAAACTTTTGTCCATTTTCTTTATACGTAGATATTCAGGAATGTTTTATATCATGGTTCTAGAAAAGCCCACAGTGTCAACAATCAGCATGGGGTCGTCACAGTTCGTGTCAGTGTACTTTATACTCCAGAGTTTAAGTGTTTCAGAAGAGTTGGCTTCCTTTCTTCAAACAGTAGAGACAGTGTCAAATTGTTCCCAAAACACAGATTTGACTTTGCTCTCAGCCACTTCCAGAACCTACTTCAGAATAGTACCCAGGCTCCCAAGCACTGGAATTCCAAGTAGACAGATTATATAACCTACCATTTACAGTAACAGCTTTGACAAAGCAGCAAGCCAGGCGACCAGGCCCTCCGACACTTCATATTTCTCTGAAAAAGCCTGGAGAAGCCAAGGTACACAGTAACCTCGTCCCAGTGAGCCAAGAAGTCTGAACAGAAATAAAAGGTGAAAAGGACAAGGAAAAAAATGGAGGATTAGTGAAAGGAAGAGTTAATGTTTAATTGCGCGATCAATCTGGCATGCCTATATGTGGTAATCTGAGCAACAGATTTGATGATGACAATATGTGATATAAGAACCATTGTTAATTTTCTATTCTTGTTTTGAAATTCTGTACTATTTCTAGCATTCTATTTGCTTTGTTTGTCTTGGTTCTTGTTATTTGTTTTTCTTTTCTTCTCTTCTTTTCTTAAACTTTTATTTATTTATTTATTTATTTATTTATTTGGTACTGGATCTTGCTATACAGCTCAGAGTTGTAGTGATCCTCCTATCAGCCTCCCCAGCACTGGGATTACAGATGTGTATTACCACAGGTGGTCTTGGTGGCCTGCTCAGCACACCTGGATTGGAGCTGGCACAGCATGCAGTACCAGAGATTAAACCCCAGGTCCTTGCCCTTGCCAGGAAGGTGCTAAGACCCCCAAGCTATCTCCCCAGCCATGTTTTCTTCCTCTTTAAAATAAAATTTAAAAAAATGTCCAAATGGCCAGACAGGTAACATTGCACCGTCGTGTAGCTTGAGGACTGTGGTTTCCAAGGTGTCAGAGACTTTCTGAGACCAGCATGTTAGAAAGCAATGGACACGTGTGTCATGGTCTTCAAAGAAGAAGCCAATGATTCTTCTTGAAATAGAGAAAAAGGCACTAAAACAATAAAGAGCCGTGTGAAAGGGCTATGCTGAAATATACTGTGACTCTTCAAATGTATTTGGTCTCAGAAGTTGAAAGTCCACCTCTAGGTCTTTATTTCTCGAGTGGAGTACTTGCCTTGTTAGGGCTTCAAAAAGTATGTTTCTAGAAGGAAAAGAGAGGGTTGTACTTCCTCAGAACAACATGCAATTACATAGTAACAATAAATCATCTTGGAGAAAATATCAAAGTGTAAGGAACAAAGTACTTCACCAATGACAACTTATGTGGCCTTCATAGAGAGCAACAGTCCCTAAGACCTAGCAGATCGATGACCAAATCAAGGTCACAGATTCCATGGACCATTTGTGGGTCCCACATGTCGCCTCCTACTTAGCCCATAGCTCTCATAACCCTGCTACTATGGCAAGCCGGAGTGTCTTCTAGGTCCTCCATTCAAGAGTATATGTGCCGAGAAGCCAGAAGACAATTTGTTTCAGTTCTTTACTTGAACAAACAAATACCATCTGATTGATCATTCCATGTTGACAGTTGCCTCAGAGACCGTGGTGATTCCCGCAAGAGGCTGAGAGGTCCCCATCTTGTGTATCTCTTTGTCTCTGCTTCACAGCTCCACCTTCTTTTGTCCTTGCTTCTTGAATAAGAAGGCAAAGGGAGGTGACCCCAGGAAGCCAGTCCTGTCCATCCCAGGAAGGGAATGTGGACACTTGATACTCGTGTGAAGCATCTAGGGACTCTCGGACACTGCCCAAATGGCACAACTTTGTATTTTCTTTTCTTAAAATCCCATTATAGTTCTTCAAGATGCAAGTTAGAAGGATTTCTAGACACTACAATCAGTGTTTGAATAAGTGGCCACTTACACTGTGAGATTTGACGGGGGAGAAGGAATGAAAAACATTGGTAGATAATTTCTCAGAGTTGCATTCTAATCCTCAAAGTGCCCTCATTTTGCAACAGTAACTATCAGGAGTTTTCTGCTGGAAGGAAAAAGGGCACACTTGGAGGACGAAGGTGTTCCCGTCGCTGAGTTTTGGCTCTAGTCTGGTGTCTCACATTCCCAAGGAAAAGCCTCACCCATTTTAGGCAGTAGGCAAGGTAACAGATGGTCCTTTATCAGACTTGAGAAACAGCAAGCGTTCCTCTGTGGAGTATGTAATAGACCCTCAGGAATTGGTGACAGCTGGATTCAAAACAAAACAAGCACCCTGTCTCCTCACTGCCAAGGAAAATGAAATTAATATTCCCTCTTTAGGAGTCAAAACCAGTTTTCTTTTTTAGGCACAGAGAACAAACATCTTCAAAGACGTTTTACATTGTCTGCCTTGATGTGGAACCATCCTGCAGGTAGAATACAGTCACTATGCACACATTGCAGTAGGTAATGTGAGATCCTTGTGCACCTGGACTCAGCATCCTCTGTGACAATTTAGTGACTCAATGAGTGCTCTTTCTGGCCCTGAATACAAAATCATTTTAATCTCTGCAACTTCAAATGAGCAAAGAGTGTCCAGGAGAGGGAAGAGACTAGGTCTATCCAATTTATCCTAATTTTAATATTAGAAATGTACAGCACAACTCATTTCTATTGCTAGGTAAAATGCTCTTGGGTTGCTCTAGATTTATGCTACCGAAACTTGGTTCTCCTTCATAGTGGGGATACCAAGCAGCTGTCTTGGTATCCCCAAGGGGCACCCTGTTGGGGTGAGTGGTCTGCAGCTGGTCTTAACTTTGCAACCTCATGCACAGCACTGAATGACAGAGTTTAGATGTCATCCTGACCTTTTGCATGTGGCCATGCTGCTGAAAGGGGGGAAGGAGGACAACCGTCTGCTGTCCCTAAAGCTCCCCAGCATAGACTCCCTTTGTCCTTGAGGCATCAGATTGAACAGAGCATTCTGCTCCCAGCTCTGGACCTTTGATGGCAAGTTGTTCCCGCCCCTTTTTCCATCCCATCTCTCCGTGCTCGGTTTACTTTTCACCAGCAGATCAGATGAGGATGCTCTGCTTATAGGACTCGTCATTTTCTCCCGTTGTCACCATCTGAGTGGACAGGAGGACTCACGGGAGAGACAGGTGAGCAGGAGGCACCTCCTCATGGAGACAAATCAATGAAAATCAATGAAATCCCTGTGCAGATCCAAAGAATTGAAGCAGACAAGTTGAATATAAATATTACTCATGCATTTTGGAAGGATAGTGTGCCCAGCAAGGGCAGCAAAGCACGGACACACGCCACTCCGCTCAGAATGTGTCATCTCGATGGCACCTGAGGCTCAACTCGGCTTCCTGCACCATTGGAGAGAACGAAGCTCTGCCTCATCCCAGGGATGCTTCGCTGCTGTATCTGATTCCTTGCCTTTTATTTAAAACATT